GACAATTATTTAAATGATTGTAACAAACATCTGAATTTAAATTATTACTATGAAATAACTCTTAACCAGACAGAAAGGCAAAAAAGCAGCTCCCCTCATCAAATAATAGATGCGTGCAAAAATAAGCTGCTCATCTGCCTAGAGCAGAGGTCCCCAACCCCCGGGCCAAGGACCGGCACCGGGTTACGGCATGCCAGAAACCGGGCTGCGCAAAGAATCGAAGCCCCATCTATGGGATGCAGGCAGCACACAAAACCACGCCCCCTCCAATCCGCAGAAAAACCTTTCTCCGGTCCCTGGTGCCCAAAAGGTTAGGGGCCGCTGGCCTAGAGTACTGCCTTGAGCCAGAACACAATAATGTAGCTGCCCCAGACTTGAAAATAAAGTAAAAATTTAAAACTGTCATTAAAAAAGTGCTTACGTGAAAGTAGCCTTTGATATGATTAGTGCACTTCCAAATAAACATGCATAGATTTAGTGTGATCTTTAAAGCTTAGTTGCAATTAATAGAAATGGCAATTTGTTACTATAATTAGCCGTAATGAATTTCTTGCAGTTTCCCAGCTGGGCTTTCTTAAAACTATTGTTGCATATTAGGGCCAGTTCAGAACCAGCAGCAAATAATACAAATGGCTCGAAGTTATGAATTAGCATGATCCAGAAGTATCATAATGGCAATTTCCAGATTCTGTTTTACTTTGAAATGAAATCGCATTATAGAGAAGACTGCCTCTGATTTTATTGTTTTTGGTCCTCTATTTTTCTTCCCAACTTGGTAAGACAAATCTGAATCTGTACTGGAATTTATTGAGGTATAATGAAATCCTTTCACTGCAATCCTAAATCCATTTCAAGCGGTATGAACGCCATTTTGAGCTTCTGAAGGAAATTTAACAAATAAATATGGGAATCGGCAATAAAAAATAGAGTGATGTAGCCAGTCCTCATTAGGATCCAGGCTGCAAAATATGGATAACCCTTACAGGGTAGCTAAGAATGAAGAGTCCTATTTGTCTTTGTTGGCATTTAGTCATTATCCGGATCTTTGCCGCCTATATTCAGTAGTCCTGCCTATCAGTATGTTTAGAAAGTAACCAGACCTGGCTTTTCCCATTTAGATTCAAGCAAAATTCTTCTTAACTTCTAAATCTTGAATTAATTGTTTGCCTTCAGTAGGGCTGAGGATAAAGTAATAGTTTTGTGAAGTTGTATTTTTGAAAAACAAAGTTCATAGAGGAGGGCAGTTTTATTCAGCTTGCGCTAATTTGATGTAAGTTTTCATAGTTGCAAGACATTTTTTTCAAACCCAAGAGATACGAACATGTGTACTGTAATGTTTTTCTTATCTTACGAAAGGCTGTTGCCAGCAATTTTTACAGACTGATAAAAACTTAAGGGAACCTGTTTCAGTGTTGAAAATTTGCCTCCCTAAACCAGCAGTCAAGCTAGTTTAACTTGCTGGAGATTTGCAGATTTTTTCCTGCTTCCAGATTGATGTAGAGGAAGGAGCTAGTCCAATTTTCGCAAATTCAAAAAGTAGGTTAGCTGAACTAAGAAAGGACTTGTCAGTAGATCTGACAGCCAGACAAAACATAACGGAGTAAACAGATCTATCTATGTATAACCTACTTCAAAGATCATAAGTAGCATGTTTGATTTAATACACTGTAGCTTAAGAGGACACAGCCATGTGATGCCATGTCTGGTTGTGGCCTTCAGTGCTTTCGGTGCAGCTTTCCAGCTCTCTCCAAAAGTTGCTACTAAGTTGTAATCATTCTTATGACGGAAGGAATACTTATATGGAGAAAAATCAGTGCATTAACTATAATCAACATTTTCACCAGTTTATTTTTGATTTCATGTGCATTATTGTGTATCATCCATTAATTGCAGATCTTGCAATATCCATAGAGCAAACTAGCATACACTAAGACTCCCGTCAATAAACTTACAGCAGTGATCTAAACCAAAAGAGATATCCAAACATTTACAAAGGCAGCATCAGCTATCCTAGCCCAGATGAGATATCACAATAATCTATTCAGATAATTCTGGAAACAGACACAGTATGCTGACAAAGCTTAACTCGGCAAACACATGCTTGATGATTAGTTGCCTGATTTTTGCATTAGGTCCTGAACAAAAGCCAGCTTGCAAATTTGAGCCATTAGGTCAAGTATATAAAGACATTTCTGTGTACATTAACTCTTAATCCTTATTCATTAATCTTTCTATCATCTGTCCAGCAGTTTGTCTGGATTTAGATTGCTCCCATCCAATCCATTACAAACGTCAGATACTCACTGAGAAGTGGAAGAACTTATTTTGATTTTGAAGGAAAAGAGAAATAGAATGACACTAGCATTCTAAAGGCATCGAAACTCTAGAACTCTTGCATTAAACAGCACTGGAGACTAGATGGAACCATTAGGAACACTATAAAACAAAGGCTTCAAGGCCAATCTGGCACAAGCTTTTGAATTAATTCCTACAAAAAAAAAAAAAAATAGAACCCACAGCTTGAGCAGGGAGGTTGGACTGGAAGACCTCCAAGCTCCCTTTCAAGTTCTATTATTCTGTATTCTAAAAAAGCTACCCAGTACTGTTTCTTTTAGTCCAAATGTCAGGAAGCAGTTTCAAAGGCTACCACTGTTGATGGTTCTGAAAGTTTCTGGAAGGGAACAATAGCGGTGCCTAAAATGGTGGCCGCTACTGTTAAAGGCACCTCAGGGGAGTTGAGGCTGCAATTAGAGTGAGCAAAAGAGAACGGGAAAGGAACCAACCGTTTGAGCGGTGTCTGACTAATGTGAGCATTACAGGCACGCTGAATCCAGCAAGGGACAACAGCGCTTAAAAAGCAGCAAAACCTTTTGGCGAAAAAGCTCCTCACGCGGCTTCCAAAATGGCACCCGCACCGAAAGAAAAAATGGAGGTTTGAGGCTTCCTCAAGGCTGCAGCTTAGTGAAAGAAAAAATGCCTAGCGGTTAGGCGCTGCGCTGATCCCAGTGCTGCAAGGGGAAATGGAGAATTCACGAATGGGGAAAAATAAGGAAAAGAACAATACAACCTGCTCTGTAGTTTAGTCTGAAAACAGAGCCAAACTGACATGTCTTTTCTGGGCACAGACTAAGTCATGACTGGAGGTCTCCTGGCCCAGGAGAAGCATGGCAAGTTTGACAGACTTAGTCTAAATGGGCAGGAAGACAGAGTTAACCCATTCGTGGATTCTCCATCTATCATGCTGGAGAACAGACTGGGAGAACATTCATTTCTACCCAAACAGATCCTCCATTAAGATGACCATAGGAACATCTTTTTTTTTTAAAGAGGTCTGAAGCAGAATTTGGTGGGATGTAGGTAAGTGGTGGCATCCAAAAATCTCAATAAATCATGAGACATTTTAAGATGAAGTAGTGACTTTGCTTTATTCTTTTGACTCAGAAGAGTGCTGAAAGCACTTCTGCGAGCAATATACATTGACCTTAAACTTCTCTTGCAAGAAATGCAAGAGAATAGCATTTTCCCAGAAACCAGACCAGCTCAACAGGATTGTGGATGGAAATAGAATACAAGTCTCTTACTTTAAATACATAAAGTTCTCAGCTTACAACCATTCATTGAGTGACCATTTGAAATTATGGCACTGAAAAGAGACCCAGGACCAGTTTTCACACAACTGCTGCAGCATCCCCATGGCAATGTGATCAAAATTCAGACGCTAGGCAACTGACTCATATTTATGATGGTTGCCATATCCTGGGATCACATGATCCTCTTGTGATCTTCTGACAAGCAAAATGTAGCAAAATTCACTTAACCAAGTTATTAGCAACTACAGTGATTTAATTAAAAACTGTTGCAAGGAGGGTCATAAAATGGGGGCAAAACTCAACAACTATTTTGCTCAGCAATGGAAATTTTGGACTCAATATTGATCATAAGTCGAGGATCACCTATACTCTGGAATGACAATTTATGCTGCCATTCTGGAAAACTCACTGTGAATACTTCAAGGAAACAGTGTCTAAATCCTTGAAATTCTTTTGAACCAGAGGAAGGAGTTTGTACCTGCAGCTCTTAAACTTTCTGAGGCCAAAATCCTGACCCAGATTTGATATGTAGCACAAGTAAAAAAAAATCCCTCAGATCACATCTACTAATTCTCTTGGGCCACAGTCTCTCTTTCTAAAGGCATCTTCGATGTAGCTGTTGGACTTGAGGGTGAGAGGCCTAGGATTCAAAGTAAATAATGTATTGGCTAAAAGTCAATTTTTTTACTTGATTACCCCAAAATTGCCTTCTTTCTGTTGGCTTTGATCAGGCCAAAAGGATTATTTATCAAAGGCTGCAGAAGACAGAATTTTGAACTAAAATTGGCTTCTTAATATGGACCCCTGCAGTGCTCATTAGCAGGAATTTGTGGAAACCTGTGAATTATCTGAGCACATTAACTTCCCCACAGTTCGGGGAAATATTTTTTCAAACAAGCATGTCTTAATTCTCAGCCCTTTTAAGTAATAGATATAATAAAATCCCTGTACCTGAGAGTATAGGCCTGTGTGATTCTGGAGAGGTTGTTACTCTCCAGGATCCAGGAATTCTGATATTTTTGATATCCAGCATATCACAACATTTAGAGACAATCATGAATTTTATTTAACATCTATCTTCCAGCAATTTTTGGGGAGAAGACATACACACTAAACTTAAGATACGATACAAGGAGGAAAGGCAAAGATTTGCTGATTGCAATAAAAACACAGCAACAGTTGACTTTATTGAACTAAAGTCAATAAAGTTCTAGTTTTATTTTATTCTTTACTACCATGCACCTTCTTGGGCAGATTATGACACATCCATCTTGTTTTTCTGCTCTGTTATTTTGAATAAACGCCTGCTCTTTGAGCACATATAAATAAATCTGTAATAATGCAGAATCTCAGTAACATTTAAAATAGAAATCTAAGATGGTAGAAACAGAAAGTGAATAGAAAGTGCCATGCATTTATGAAATAAGTACTATTTTATTCACACACTTTAAAAATTACATCAGTTTAAAATGTTTAAATCAGAACCATAACATTATAAAAGGTCTTTTATGCATCAGAATCAATTTTTGGCTCATCTGAAACATGTAAGGACTTTTGTAGAATTGGAGGACAGAACTGAATAAGAAAAAAAAACTCTGTAGTTGGTTAAGACAAGTGCTTGAGAATTCTAGACCATTTCAGAACAAAAAACATCACATTTGCACTAATACCTCATTTATACTGCAAATATTTCATAAGACCCCTAACATTAATAAATGCACTGTTTTATGTAAGACAGCGGTTCTCAACCTATGGGTCACGACCCCATTTGGGGTCGAACGACCATTTTACGGGGGTCGCCAAACAACGCGATCCGCCATTTTTCCCCCTCAGGGGGCGGCGGCACGCATGCGCGGCACGTCCGTGTGACGGGGTCGCCGTCACACAAAGGTTGAGAACCACTGATGTAAGACAACATACATATTGTTCTACCCTCCTCGCATAAAACCACTGATGTATTAATATGTCCACATTTAAAATTAATATTGTACAAGATGTTCATACATCTCACATTCCAGATAATTATCAACAGGAAAATACATTTTCTGAATGTAACCTGAGGGATTTAAGCTATCACTACATTAGCAAAGCATTTGCTAAAATATTAACAAGTGTCTTAATTATACTAAAACAGCCAGACTTTCAAGCTTGTTCCAGATGTGACTGAAATGCCCATCCTCTGAGGAGACTCCTATTATAATAAAGAAAACAATTAAGAACCGATAAGTGCATATGCTATATGAAGATATATCTTGTTTTCTGACTTCTCTCCATTTTTATATCACTGATGTTTTCAAACCCAATGATGTTGTTTTAAAAGCCTGGGAATGTTTTTTTTTTATTTTTTTTTAGTAAAAATGCAAGGGTAGAATTCCAGAATTTTAACATACAAAAATATTTGGTGGTCAAAACACATTTATCTTCTTAATTGTGCTGGCTTCTTGGAAGCCAACTTAGCTAATTTTGAGGACAAACACCAATCCTCTGCAAGTAACTTTCCCAGGCTAGTTTCCTATACGCCTCTGCTTCAGCCCGGCGGTCTGATGCAGATAAGATGCCTCGTCCCACAATGATGATGTCTGAATTTCGTTTTCTGATAACGTCTTGTGGACTTAGGTACTTCTGCCCAAGGCTATCACCTGCAAGGAACAACACACATTTTGTACTGTTTTCAGCTATTTTCATTTTAGTAAAATGTAAAACAATTACAGAAAATGCCAGAAAAAGAAAATCCTTATAACAATGAATACATCCATCCCAATACTGCTCAAGTACAAGGGAAAACCATACAGAAAGGGGGAAAAAATCTTCCAAAGAATCTCTTCTCTACTTATTGCATAAGGTAATAAAATGCCAATATAGGTTTAACATAAAAATAATGATGGCAAAAATAATAGCCTCTATTCCTTACAGTGGTGCTAACAACATTATTTTTTTACAAGCTGAGGTAAATAATTCAGCAGAGGCTGTCAAAGTCCATCACCAGGGGAAAAATAAATTTCAAGCCAACAATTAGAAAATGAATGAAAAATACAAATATCAAACATCCTTACACAACTCTAAAAGTATACACATTTATAATATATTCAGTTCTGGATTATGCTGATATTCTGAAGTTACAAGAATTTTTTTTAGATGCTTTAATCCAAGCTTTATTTTTATAAATAACTCAAGGTGGTGAACATAATAATCTGTCTTCCAATAAAACATTTGGAAATTTTACTTTTCAAAATACAAATTGACAAAGGGAACAATTTCACAGCTTTCTGACCACCTTTTGAAATTAACAGGCAAAATAAAATATCACTTCAAAAGTACCCTTTTAAAGCAGAAGAGGGGCTACAGAGCCTAACCATCTAAAAGTCTCCTCGCTGCTCCAGTTCATTCCACTTAGTTCTAGAAAAAGCAGAGCCAATAGATGGGTGCCCAATCTCTGCATGAATACATCTGGTAAGGGGCTGTTTATTACCTTCCATGGTAATGGGGTCATTTTCAGACTGTTCTTACCACCAACTTTAAAGAAAAAAGTCACTCCAGCAAAAGGAGAAATATCCCTAGCAAAGAAAGCTTTTAATATTTTCTTTTAATCAAAAAAGGAACATTTATATCACAGAGACGTGCTCCTTATGAAATCCATGTTACAGTACTGGTTCCCCAATTAAATTCTGCTGAAAATACTAAACTTGCTCACATTTGTAACCAAGCTAATTACTCCGATCAAGGTTACATATTTTAAAATACTTTGCCCTGTTAAAAATACCAACCGTATTTATTCTAACTGTGATTACAATGCTCACCTCCAGCTTGCATCTGGACCCCTGGAGTTAAATGAAGAAATTCAGGTTTTTCAGTAATTCTGGACCCAGAAATAAATCCCAGAACAAAATCTGAGTGATCTTCAGCCATTCTGACCTAGAGAACATGCAGACAGAAGGCCTGTCACACAACCAAGTAAATTTGCTTTGATATACTGTAAAATGGAAGAATAAATACTAAATAGTGGTGCTATTCTAAAAGCCAAAACACACAATCTTAAAAAGTTGCAGCAATATTATTACTGACCATACTGACCTGAATCAACAGATACACATCTCTCTTATTTACAAAAATTACAGGTAGTCCTTAACTTGAAACCTAGCTGTTAAGTGAGTTTTGCCCATTTTACGACCTTTCTTGCCACAGTTGTTAAGTGAATCACGGCACTTGTTAATTTAGTAATGTGGCTGTTAAGTGAATCTGGCTTCTCCATTGACTTTGCTTGTCAGAAGGTGGCAAAAGGTGATCACGTGACCCTGGGACACTGCAAAGAATCAGTTGCCAAGTATCTGAATTTTGATCATGTGGCCCTGGGGATGCTGTTAACAGTCGTTAAGTGTGAAAAGCGGTCATAGGTCACCTTTTTCCAGTGCCATTGTTAACTTTGAATGGTCACTAAACAAATGGCTGTAAGTTGAGGATTACTTGTATTTATCTCGTAAAAGAATGTCTCACTCACAAAACTGCACTAGCTCATAACCTCCCTTGTGTCAGAATCCTTTCACAATCCCCTTCCATTCTTGCTTACAAACTCCCAAGCTTCCTAAAATTATTCTGGTTTTCACTGTCCTTCTCTGGCAAGAATTTCTCTAATGTACTGAAGTGAAGCTACATTTCCATTCTAAGCAGCTTTTTCAATGCTGGAGAACGAGGGGCGGGGGGGGGGAGAGAAGACTGCTGCTTTTAGGCACTGGAGATGCTTTTGTTTTTCAACTCTATTCAGATGAAAGTTCCAACTTACGACAGCTTTCGTATAGTCACCTGTGGCCAGGGACTCACTGGAGCTCATCTCACCAATCAAGAGACACCCACGTTGTAAAGGATGCCCCACTTCTTTCAGCCCCTTAATAACTCCTGGGCCAGGAACTGCATGGGCATTAACCATATCTGACCACGATGCTATTTTGAAAACACCACCTGAAAGAAAGAATAGGCAAGTTAACAACTACGCAAATAGGTGTGGCTGAAAAAGCTATGCAAATTGACCAATATCCCTCTTCACCTTTTTATTTTGATGGAAATGTTGCCAAGGATTGAGATCACAAATCCAACATTCCAAAACAGTCCCAACTACAATAGTCAGCTACAAAGGGGGAGTGGTTCTCTTCTGCTTCCTCATGCTATTCCACTCTCTTCCATAAGTGAACAGCGGCTGTGTTCAAGCTGGGGATCATCTCAGCGACTCAGATAGAGCCTAGTGCCAACTCTACAAATGAGCATGACACCTAGTTTGGAAGAGCCTTTCTCCCTGGCTACCCGAATCAAAATAGCCCTGGTGAATAGTCCCTTTGGCTGGAGGAGACAGATCCCTCTTCAGCCTAAAGTAGCCAATAGATGCCAGCACCTAGGAGTCACCTAAACGTAATCAAGACCAGAATGATCAGCCAAGAATGGCAGAAACTTGAGTTTGTGATGAGAGAGGAAGCCCGCTTTAAAAATAAAGCAGCTGAACTATTGAAGTCTAACTCTATTATGGACTGTAGACCAGAAGGCAATGCTATGAAGATCTGGTACAAAACAAGAATTAATGGGATGCGTTTGTGCTAGGGTTAACGCCAGTGGGGAAAGGCTCAGTAGAAAAATATGTTTTAATTCTTAAATGAACTGAGAAATTCGAGAAGTGCAAATTAGGTTCAATACATGTTAAAATCTAAGTCAGCCAAGAGTTTGGGGAACGTGCCTTAATAAAATTAAAGCCCACTAAGTTAGAAAGGCTACTCTACAACTCCTTTGTGACAGAGTCACTTTCCACGAGATGGGCATGGAGTAGTCAAATAAATAAATAAAAAATAACGTACGTGGTAGCTTCAACGTGAGTTTTGATAACATTCAGAATAAAATTTATTTTCAGTAGGTTTAAAAATAAAAAGCAAATAAATGCTCAATCAAATACATAGCAATATTTGAAATTAAAAATCTCCCAACAATTGAAATAGCCCTGCAGAGGTTGCAGCTTAGCCTGGGAAGCCCACTTTACCTTTGTACTGGTGCTTCACCGTATTTCCAATGTCTGCAAATTTTCGGTCTTCAAAAATCAAGAATTCATGCCGAGCAGCAAGTACACTCAGTTCTTTAACTACTTCCTGGGTAAAATCATCCAGAATATCAATGTGAGTTTTCAAAATGCAGATGGATGGTCCCAGACTGTCAGCCAGCTGAAGCAATTCTTTGGAACTGTTCACATCAGCAGAAAGGCACAAGTTAGACTGTTTTTTCTCCATAAGCTTGAGAAGTCGAGCAGCCAGAGGATGAGTGCCCGGCAGCTCAGCCCGAGCAGCGTAACTCATTTCTTTGCATACCCTTTTCACAGGAGCGGAACCATTTTGTTCAGATGGCTTAAAAATATTGTCTTGGATGAATTTTTCCACTCTTACCACTGTTTCAGAAGTAATTTTTTTCCGCTGTTCAAGGATTCGAAGAATTTGAGACAAGCTGCAGACAGAGTGCAGCCTAATTCCATGCTTTTCCAACATGGCTTTCCCTCCTTGTTCTCTGTCTAACAGCACAATGGCATCGGTAACCTTCAGTCCCTCTTTCCAAAGAACCTCTGCCGTCTCCAAGACACTTGAACCGCTGGTTACTACATCCTCGATAATTAGGCAAGTTTCTCCTGAATTAATTGTGCCCTCCACAAGGCGCTTGGTTCCTTTAAGAGGAATAGAAAGGATCGAACATTACTGTAAAACCCTTTCTGGTTCAACACAAAATTATTATTGTCATTAATATGCACAAACAACAGATCAATCATTCCAAAAAAATCATTTCAGTGTAAAACATCTGCATGCATATTTATTAATTGTAGATGCATAATTTACATCAAAACTCTTTTCTGTCAAAACAGAATAAACCAATAACAGTTCACTGTCAGTCACGTCTTTACCGTCTCAAGTATTTACTACTTATACTATCAATATGTAAAATTTAAATTAAATTTAAATTCTTTTTACCATGATCTTTGGCTTCTTTTCTCCGTATAAGCATTGGAATCTTATTTGTTGAGCAGATTATTGTAGCCAAAGGCAAAGCTGTGTATGGAACTCCACACACAGAATCATACTTGAGGGTGGCATCCTTCGCTGAACAGAAAAGGAGATCTGCTACCTGAGAGAATGGTGTTAAAATGAATTTTATTAGCACACAATATATCTACCAAAAAGTGAAAGTTTAAGAAGGCATTATCCAAATCCTCCTGGGCAAGTAAAAGTCTGGTCTCTGCTTCTAGACCAGTGGTTCTCAACCTTTTTAATACTGCGACCCCCAACCGGTCGTAAGTCGAGGACTAATCAACTGGTGTAGCACCGTTTGCAGAATGGGACTTTTGGCGGGCTCAGCAGGGCAGAGACAGCCTGGACAATTCCTATTGGCTTTTGAAAGCCAATAGAATTAGACTCTATTCAAGAGAGTCTATTTATTGGCTTTCAAAAGCCAATAGAATAAAAGGGAGTAGCACAGCTAAGGAAAGGGGGAAAAAATGGCGGACTGTGTTGTTTGGCGACCCCCATGAAATGGTCGTTCGACCCCAAATGGGGTCCCAACCCACAGGTTGAGAACCACTGTTCTAGACAGAGCAGTTGAAAAAATGATCACTTATCCATGAACTTAAAACAACTGGATAATTAAGACTGCATTTTATAGTTGTTTCTTTAGCATCATTTTAAGCAGAATGGAGGCCAAAGCAGCAATCCTTTATCAAATATTCAATAAATAATCATCTGAAATATGTATTTTATTTATATGGGCAAAAATGATTCACCTCACTTACATAACTTTCCCTTGTCTCCAGTCTTAGGTAAGATAACCTTTATTGTCATTTTTTTTACTGTGGGCACAATGACACACATCAAAAATGAAATTTAGTTGCCCGCTCTCAAAGTGAACACATACATGACACACACCTAAACATACTATAAACAACATATACATACTATATACAACATATGTATATACCTATACCCCTACATATACATATGAATATCAAACACTGTCCATCTTGAATATATAACGGAAGGAGGAAGCTTAAGAGTTCATAAGGTTAATGCTATAGGGAATGAAACTATGACTGAATCTGGATGTTCTGCTACGGATACCACGGAGCCTCCTCCCAGAAGGTAACAAGGAAAACAGGTTGTGAAGAGGATGGGTAGTGTCCCAGACAATCTTACGGACCCTGCTCAAGCAACGCTTCTGTGCTATGTCCTGGATGGGAGGGAGGGAACTGCCAATGATCTTTTCAGCCATCCTGCATCCCACTTCCTCTTCAGATTTTAATTTCTGAAGTGAAGCTTCCTGACCTTTCACCATCATCTCCAAAGCAAACAACTTCATATTAGTATCTACGCTTAACTTAAAAGCATTTTCTACAGATATGTCAAGAACAAATCAAATCAATCAAACAAGAAAAAGCAAGCATTTTGACTTCTAGTAATAGAGTAAGTGGGTTCATACACTACTCTCACTTACAGGTCATCAGCATGTCACTACTGTGTCTAGGAAACAGTGAGATGTCTGCTCTTGAAAAAACTCAGCTATGTAGCTCAGAACTTCTCCTAACCTCAAGGTCAAGGTGTATTGTTAAGAATATCTACTTTGTACTTTCAGCTTTAACTGATACATAAAATGCGATTTTTCCTGGAATAGGATAGTCTGTTCAGAGTGATGCATATTTTAGTAATATGTTTGTGCTGCTTCAATCCATTACCCTGTGAAGATGGATTGGAACTTTTACTTGGTACATACCAGTATAGCTATTGCTCAAAATTACTAAATAGCATGGAAAACCAGACACACATTATGCCTACTCCCCAGGGTTTGTCCAGGCTATCTCTTCAAATATAAAATTTGCTGAAAAACTCCTACATTAAATATTAACCTTTGTGATGCTTGGAAAGGAATTTCTTCAAACTCTTGGCTATGAGTAATTCTTACAGAGCACGAAACAAAATTAGAGACTTCTCAGAGCAGATGAGCCTACCGAATCCTGAACGATCTAAAAATCCTATCCACTTCTGTATCGCTGCCCAACAAACAATATAGATATGTCCACGCTGTCATCCTTCGTTAACTTTGCCTTAAATTACATTTAATTGCGGCTACTATTATTTGGGAATGCAAACAATATCTGACAACAGAAAGGAGCTAAAGATTTACCCCTCACAATAACCGCCTTACTGCTCATACCGGTCAAGCTTCGCGGATACCTTATTTAGCAGCGCCGGATACGACACAATGACGCGGAGGTCAATATAGACCGGGGAGACCAGGCCGCTCTTCAGGACGAACTCCCCGAAGCGCAGAGCCTGAACTCCGTACAGCTCAATCGCCAACGACTCCATGGCGCTTTTCGCTTTCCTCGTACCAGGCGCGCGAAACGGCGTCGCATGCACCGCCGGCCTTGTCGCCCAACAATGACGACATCAAGCAGTCGCTTTTGAAGCCTTGCTTGGAACCCGGAAGTGGCACGTGACGTCGAACCTGGCAGAAGATTTGCGTTGGAGCCCTCTGCCGGCGTGGAGGAGCCGATGATGCGAATGGGCGTGGCTGGAAGGATGCATATTGCTGCATAGCGTTTAGTAAAACAGAAGGAGAAAATAAAGAATTGCTACAGATTTAAGCTCACAAATCATAGTTTTACCCGGACACGCCAAGGACAGAAATCAGTTGCGTTTGGAGGATGGGCACCACGAGGCATTAGGGAGATGTTAGATTGACTGAACTCAGTTCAATTTCTCCTTTGATTTCTTTGCTCGGTTCTGGATAATGTTTATCTCATGCTCTGTGAGGATGAAAATCAAGCACGAGTCGTGTATGCTGCATCAGCTTTGGTATTTTCTAGCTGGTGATTTTAGATCCCAGACTATCTTAACATGATAACCTCCAAATGTCAATTTATTTACAGTAAAAGGAGACTGGGTTAAACTGAAGCAGAAATAACAATTATCATTACATTGAAAATAACAGGACCAACATGGACAGCCACAACCTGAGGCTTGAAGCTCTTATAATTCCAAACTAGTATTGATAAGTAGCAAAATAGGAAAAGAACCAAATTTAGAAAAGTTGGCATTCTCTTGCTAATTATGCTATGGCACTTCCTCTGCTTGATCTTCTGTATCTGCTGCTGCCGCCTCAGACATTCAGCAGCTTTTCTTGGCATTGATGTAGGCCTTGATACAGGCTTTCTGTACATCAGTCATCTGGATGCTATAAGTTTCATCTAGGACAGTGGCTTTGATGCCATGCTATAGCCTCCTCTTTCTTCAGGAGGGACTTGATCACCTAAACCAGGGATGCTAGCCAACTGTTGCTAAATGTGATGTGTGGAGAAGATTACATCAGCCTTACTGCTACAAGCAAATCCCAATAAGGGGTTTTACTTTTGTGTGGCCAATTTTCCTTTTGCCGGCGCTGCTATTGGCATCTCTTATATCACTTCTTCTCCTGCAATTCTTTGGTGTAAACCAAGGATCTACAGGACCTACAAATACAGAGTCTCTGCATGGTAGGTTTTTTCATAAGAGAATTTTATATGTGCAAGCTCAGTCTGCATCAAGCAATAGGTTATAATAGAGTCATAATGGTTCAGTAGGAACCATTGCATCTTCTTTTAAACTAAAAACATCTCTGGCCTCACACATAGGGATTTTTAAAAGCAATCAGCTTCCTCTTTTTTTCAGTGAAAGCAGGTTGTCTCAACTTCTTGCGAAGGTCAATTATTACAGATTTTGTTTGCCCAAATATAGTAGAGCTATAACTTCCCAACTCTTACATTGCAAAGTTTATTTTTATTGTAGACCAGGGGTCTCCAACCCGCAGTCTGTGGACCAGTACCGGGCCTCACAAACAAGCAAAGCCCCATCCACAGGATGCAGGCAGCACACAAAACCATGTCCCCTCCGGTCCGCAGAAAAACCTCTCACCATGTAACCAGTCCCTGGTGCCCAAAAGGTTGGGGACCTCTACTGTAGACCATGAAATTATAGCAATCAAAAGAAACTTCAAGAGAGGAGTTGGAAATGTCGAAACATTTGTATTTTAAACGGAGTTTGCATCTCTTAAAATTGGTAACGAACTCTTGTGAAAGAACTGCTTTTTTGTATATAATTTTGTGTTTTTTGCAGGAGGTTCTGTAATTCTGAGACAAAGTTTGGGACAGCAATGCAGCTGTCTTTTTTTGGCAGCAAACAATAAATCATGGAATATTAAACTTAACATGCTGGAATTTAAAACAATACCATTAAAATACTTATGCAGTCAGTATGTTGCTAGTCTAATTTTATACATGTTTACTTGGAAATAATTTCTGTTACACTGAATAGACTTTACTTCTAAGGAAGTGTAGGCAGGAGAGCAATCTATGTTGTGATGTGCTAGTGATTCCAAATGTGTTGCTCTATGTAGACCACTCCATCGTTTAAAGCTTTTAATGATCACTACGTACATGATGGATAAATACCACAGCACTTAATTCCACCTTTGTCTCATGTAACACACTCTGCTGGGGTCTATAGGACTCCTACATTAAATAAACTTTTTTTATTAAAAAAGGGTCAAGGCCTTCAAATCTTGAGAATATAAAATAGTGCAATATTGGGTGATTATGAGATTTTGGGCATTTTTATTTATGTTTCGTCAGTGTCATGGACACCTACTATATTCTTGCAGACCGCTAAAGGGTCCTAGATCACAAGTTGAGTATCATCGATTCAGGCCAAAATAAAAACTACTCACTGAATGTATTATATATGGCTTAATCGATTTTATCAGAACAATTAATTATATATTCTAAAACAATCCAGTGCTAAGTCTTTTATATATTGCATTTATAAGGAAGGTAGTAGCCTAAAATGTAATTTTTTTATCCATAGAGAACATACGTTGCCAAAGAATAGGAACATTACAACATTACATTTGAAGAGGTATAAATAAAATATTTACAAAATGTTTCTTTACAAAACACATATGCATACAAAATGAAATTAACAATAAAATAATACCACTTAAGGCAAACCAGCAAAGATTGAAATTTGTTTAAGGCTGTGAAATAAGTTCGCACCTTGACCTTTGAAAGGGAATAGGGATTATTTAGTCTGATTATTTCCCTTGTGGAAATCCTGATTGCATCTCAGATATACAACAAAAAGAAAAACCCATTACTGTACTACCCCTCCTACAGTTCTCACTATTGGTGGGACTTTACACAACAACTGCAAGTCCATCGCAGTAATAGAGTAATCCAATGTATCTCTCTTTATGAACAAGTCCCACTGAGTTGAATGACCCATACACCAGATTGTTCATGGGACTGTACTCAAACTATTCATCTAGAAGTAACCTCTTTGAATTCATTGGGGCTTACTCCTAAGTAAATATGCAAAGAGGTATATCCTGTAATGTTCTTTACATGACAGAATATATTTTTATTGTGGAATATAACATGGGCAAAATCAGAATAATCTGCCAGCAAAATAAAAAGATCTGATTAAAGCACCAGCACCATAAAAATTAGAATGCAAAATATGGCTTAAATAGAACAAGAGTTTTCCTGTTTTGAAAGTAAAAATAAGCAAACTAATCCTGATGTTGACAATCATTAATATAATGATTTTAGAATGAGTATTTAGGAGGAAAAGGGTGGGTCTGGTTTTATTCTCCTAAGAAAGCACCATCATCTGATGAATCATAGATGCTCGAAATGAATAGAAAAGAAAAGAAGATCCATGGAATGGCACTTTCAGGATTTTTTGAGATTCCAATAGTGTACAGCTGGTCTGAGCTACAAGCTAAAGGATCCAAATCAATGCTAGTCACACTTGACCACACGTAATCAGTCATTTTTTAAGAAAGAACATGCAGCTGTGTCAGGCAGAGCCAACACACTGAATGAGAGCCAGAATACTACATCAGCTTGCAGCCAGTCCTGAACTACTTTGCTAACATTGCCTCACAAAACAAGATTTTCACATTTTGACAGATGGACTTAAAAAAAACAAAACTTCCCAGCCTCTTTTGTGTTATTTGTATAGCATCTGATTGCTCTTGATGCAAAAAAAAGAGGTATTTGGACTAGACAGGTTTTACAGTACAGAGCCCTTTGAAGTAACAGTTGCTTTAATATTTGAAGAAACACTGTCAGATTTGTGTCATAATTTATGCTTATTCTGTGGAGCACCAGTCATAATATCGCCAGGGTTTTTATTCCAATGTTATGTATGCAGTGGAGATTCAGCAATAATTCATAATACATTACTCTGTACCAAAGTCGTATATATGTATTTCTTCAGGACCATACATTAGAGAGACAAATCATCTGTGAACATTAGTTGATGTATATGTAGAGTAGTAGAATTGGACACCCAGGAAGGCAATTGTAAAGCTAATGGCTACCACAGGTTGAAGAAAGATGACTTAAACAAATTGCATCCATAAATAAAATTGTGATGCTTTTGTTAGATTGGTTCCGGTCTAGCAAAAACTGCCCATAATGTGCCACATTTTAAAAAATATCTTTACTTGGAAGCATGTGACATTATTTTCAGCTAGACTTACTCATTAGTCAATATATGTAGCAGTGCAGCATAGATCTTAATGAAAGAAATCAGTGTGATTTTAGAATCCAACTTCAGTTGAACCTTGGCTTTTGTTTTTACCTGAGCCCACATGCCACACCTTTCGATGATTGTCAGTGACTTGTAGAAATAGTTGCTAAAGGCAACAAGGAATTGATCTTGTCCCATATTCCATATTATGGCAGCATTGCACTATATGGTGGTTGCTTTAATATTAACTACAACAAGGTTCTGGGGACAAAATGGATTGTGGAAAAATGAACATCTTGTTTTTAAAGGAAAAAGACTTTGCCTTCTTTTTCTAGCAAAGGCACTCTCTCTGTATGTATGCATGTGTGTGTATATATATATATATATATATATATATATATATATATATATATATATATATGTAGGTCTTTGGTTGTTCGGGTTTTCTCCCGCATAAAATTGGAAGTGTCTTGGCGACAATTGGAAGTGTCTTGGCGACGTTTCGACGAAGTCCCATTCGTCATCTTCAGGCTGGTGTTTTCAGCTTCGTGCTTCGAGCAGCTGAGAAAACCCGAACAACCAAAGACATATATATATATGCAGGAAGTTTTTCAGACAGATGTCTAATTGATAACACCTTGACATTTTTTAACTGCTATATTGCAGTTTTACTTTTTACAATCTCTTTTGCCTTGCAGCCCCCAACTAGGGGCGTTAAGCAGGCTCAAGTCGCAACTGCGAAACATTACAAATCCAAATTTCTTTTTCTGACAAAGAATTAAATTGGGAGACTAAGATGGCCATTTCGAGCTCATTCGAGCTCATTCTGCTCTCTTCAGTTATGTAAACTGCCCAGGTTCGAATCCCATAAAGGGTGTGGCTAACTGAAGAGAGCAGAATGAGCTCGAAATGGCCATCTTAGTCTCCCAATTTAAAAAAGAAATTTGGATATATATAATAGCCCAAAAACATTTACAGCACTTGTTTGGAGAGGTTTGATTGAAAAAATAGGGAAATACAGTATCAGGGAAATAGCCCTGTTAATTTGATTTAGAATTGTTAGTAAGCATGACATGAGTCTTTCAAAACCATAATTTCTGCTAATTGTAGAGAGCGTGCACTGAGTAAAACAAGGTGCAGGAGAGGGAATCCCCAAGGAAAACTGGAAATGATTTTGGGACAGAGGCTATGATGGCCCCAATATTGTGCCAGTTCAGACAAGAACTGTGCGCCTGCAAATTTAATTCTTATTATTTCCCTTTCTTCATTTGGCAAATGTTTTCTTTTTTCTTAAGGCATATAATTTCCTAATGTCTTTAAAAAAATGAGGTAGGCTCCCTACAAAATAAAACAGATAAAATGGGATCACACTAGGATCTTGGTCCAAAAAGTTAATAGACTGAGATTCTTATGTCTGAAATGGATGATAAGGTCTTTGTTGGAATTTATAAATTCCTTCAGTAAACAGGAGGCTTTGAACCCAAGAGTTTTAATCAAAAGAGTAGGGGAGAAAATATCCCATTTCCTCCCAATTCCAGCAGTTCTATATCTCTCCTGAAAAAAATCCTGTTTCAGAAGATTGAGGAAACCCCTGGAAAAATACAGAAACAGCACTAGGAGCTTTGCTTTTAGATAGACTATGGAATCATTCAGAGTCACACCTTTCTATAGCAGAAATCTTCAAGATAGAACTTTGCTCAGTAATAATCCTGTTGGTAGAATAAAAAAAAATAATGAATCCAACCTATTAAATCTAACATGCTACAGATTTGGAGTTCTTCATAGTTTGGGTATTCTTGACCCTTAGGCCCAATCCTTTTAAGCTAGAAGAAATACTGATGCTTAATCACTTCTAGAAAAGAACAAGGAGAAAAGTAGCAATGCTTTTTGCAAAAAAAAAAAAAAAGACATCTCATTCTGTATTATAGTTATCTTTGCCCCACTTTTTCTTTAGGAATTGAGTTTAATTGTCTTCTACAATTCTTGTCACAGTATTCATTATAAAATTGCAGGAAATGTTGCCAGTTGTTTTTTCCTAACTTTCAGTTGTTCAACGGTACCTCTGTCTTGTGGGCTCTGAGAGAAACACCCTTGGCACCACTGACAGAACACAAAGTTACCAAATGTCAGCCTATCACGGGGTATATGTATTCATTTGGGAACCTAGTTATCGCTATTGTCCTGCCAAGGGATGAAAGCATACATTATTCCTTGCTTTTCCCAGGACGATGAGATTTATTTTATCTTTTAGCCAAACCATATATTTGGCCTTGAAAGTATTGTATTGGGAGCATTTTATATCACAAGTAGTGACAGGATAGCCCCAAATCATTGGCACTTTGTGATCCAGCAACAGGAGCCCATTATCTCTGCATGTAAGAAGTCACAACCATCCTATCTGCTGATAATTACTAAATAAATCAGCCTACCCCAAGGCATGCAGGACATTAATTGTTGGGGAAGTGGGAAAAAGAGAAAAACAGATGGCGGTTTTGACTGATTTGACTTCTAAAGAATGTAGATACGGCAAGGCCATGAATAATTCATTAGCTGTATTAAAACACTCTTGGGGTATTCCGTGTTGGAATAGTTTTAGAAAGCTAATGAAAGAATACTTCAGCTTGGAACTATTATTTCAAAAACACTTAATTTGAAATGGTTGTTAAAGGGCTGTTACATTGTTGGGTGCTTGGCTAATCAGAATGCAATATTGCAATGACTTTTAATGTCCTTGTTGAGTTGCTTCATACTATGCTTTGGGATTAAACAAAAAAAAAAAAAAACCATATTTGAGAGAAGGAGCTAAGGTGATAAATGCATACAGTCATAGTAAACTATCAGCCTTATGTACTAAGACCAGTTTCAGAGCCATAAGCATAAAGATGGACCCACTATGTTTACCACACTTTGGCCAACTTTGGCTTGATTTCACAACTGAGCAACTTTTATAAGTGAAAGAGAAATAAGATCCTTTCCATGTTACAGAGAATATGAGGATTCAATAAACATCCTTAAAATAGAAAAAGTCTTTGACATCTAGTTTACAGATACAGCACTTATTTTAAGATAGTTTTTTTCTCAACAAAAGTTTTCTGTACAAGAGCTATAAAATTTTAATTTAAAAAAAACCACCTTTTTGTGCTTCATCTAAATGTTTTTGATGACTCAATTACTTTACCATCTTATCAGTAGCACACTGCTGATAGTATGTTAATCTTGAACAAAAAATGTGTTGCATCCCAAGGGAACTTATTGGCAAAGGTCTGCTGTAATATTGATCAATGCCATGTATCTACATTTCATTGGCAAAACTGTTACTGTGAATCTCAAGTACAGCACTCTTACCACAAGATTAATTCTAGTTCAAGATTAATGAAATCTGCCTTATAGGAAAACTCTGATCCTTAATTAACACAAGGATAGCAATTTTTACAGAACCCAAGATTTATCCAGCCCAGTTTCTTTAAGAAATGCTGACTGTAGATAGTCGTCTGGTTTTGTGTTTTTTTCCAATTTTTGATTGATTTTCAGATATACCATTCAACTATTCATATAATTAGCAAAGCTGTCTAGAACTTTCAGGTGGTTGAAGACCGTCAAATCTTTCAGAAATAAGATAACTGTCTTTTGGTTCCCATTCTTGACTGATGCCATCTTATTGAACATGACCATGTAATCACAACAACCCCTCTCCCCAAGACGTTGCACCTGAGGCAACCTGAGAAAGCATCTAATTCTAACTACTTAGATCAGTGGTTCTCAACCTGTGGGTCGGGACCCCATTTGGGGTCGAACGACCATTTCACAGGGGTCGCCAAACAAGGCTGTCTGCCATTTCCCCCCCTTTTCTTTGGCCACGCCCCTGGCACCTGGTGATGTATAAGTGGTTGGGGGTCACCACAACATGGGGAACTGTATTATGGGGTCGCAGCATTAGAAAGGTTGAGAACCACTGACTTAGATGATGTAACTGCTGAAACGGCACACACTTTCCTCAACAATCACATCAAATGTAATACTCTGTACAGAGAGGAAGAGTTGCAGAGAATCTGCTTTCTCCATTTTCACCCGCTGTAGCACTCCACTATCACTGAAACCGTTGTATTGCGTTACGTTCCTGGGTTCATTCTGCTCACAATGAAACTCTTAACGTTGGGAACGGGGCGCACATCAAACTGGTGTTTGCGACGTTCGATGAAACCAGCCAGCCGTGAGGTATCCAGAGGTACTTTGGAATAGCTGCCATTATGAAACTGCAGCCATGGGTGCTGCAAGCAAGTGGCGGCAGTAGGTCTCCTTCGGAAGTCTTCCTGAAGGATTACGTTGATGAAATCTTTGGCAGCATGGCTTACATCGCAAAAGTACTCATTGGGAAAGCTGAAATCCACTCGGCACACGTTGATGCATGTCTCCTCCCTGCTTTCATCCAGAAAGGGAGAAACGCCACTCAACATGACGTAGGTGAGCACTCCCAGACTCCAGATATCTGTGCCCAGTGACACTGGAGCCCCTTGGAGTACTTCTGGAGCAGCAAACTCAGGGTTTCCAAGCAGGTGATGAATGTGGTAATGGCCTGTGATTTGAAGGGCATCTTCAAGGTCAATTAACTTAACACGTGGCACTGGGATCCGTAAATCAATCAGCAAATTTTCTGGCTGTGGAAATTTAAAGTTAAATCACATAAATTTTAAAAGGTGTATTGTCCATTTCTGTTGCTATAAAAACCAATATTGGTACAGCCCATATACTAAGAGAGACACGTTCATATCTAGGTTTACTTCTCAAATATCTTTTTTTTTATGGAAAGCAAACCCACAGAAGCATTGACTGGTAGGTTTGTAGCCCATTACATTCAGGAGGGCATCTAACATAAATCCTCACATTATTGAAACATGTTTTATCAGACCATATTGCCAATCCATTTGTCACAAGCAATTAAAAATCACAAGGCACCAACAGAACATAAAATTTTAATATGTTTAAATGGTTATAAACTGAGATGAATCTGATGGGGGCTGAAACAGTTAAAAACCTGTCTTCATTAGGAATATTTATTTAAAGCAAACATAATGTGGAAAGACAATATGAGGCTGGAAGATGGGAAATACTCAGTGGGTTGTGCAAGTATCTTCATGTACAAAGCTTTCAGTTAAATACACCCTGAAGAATGGATCAAGTTTATGAAGACACTAAGTTAATTTCAAATGGTTAAAGCTGTGAATCAGCCCTCTATTGCTTGCTATGAGGATGAACAAGCAGACCTGGATACTTAAGATTGTATAAGCACAATCTTTTTTTTCTCCTTCTTACCTTTATATCCAGATGAGCAACTCGACAATTGTGAAGGTATTGTAAAGCTTCCATCGTATCTCTTATATAAAAAGCTATTTTTTCTTCCATGAGTTCGTCATGATTCATAAGATAATCCAGGAGACGGCCATCATCCATCCTACAATCCCAAAATATTCCATTACAAAAAAAAACCTGTCATGATATCTAAGGTGCTGGGCTAGAAATAGGAGACTGTGAATTCTCTCCTGCCTTAGGCATGAAAGCCAGCTGGATGACTGGGCCAGTCTCACACTCTCAGCCCAACCCACCTCACAGGGTTGTTGCTGTGAGGAAAATAGGAGGAGGAAGGAGTATTAGGTCTGTTCACCACGTTGAGTTATTTATAAAAATAGTTAAGGTAGGATATGAATGAATGGATAGATAGATAGATAGATAGATAGTAGATAGATAGATAGACAGACACACAGAGACAGACAGATAGTGATGGAGGGATGGAGAGATATAGATGATAGATAGATAAATAGATAATAATAATAATAATAATAATAATAATAATAACAACAACAACAACAACAACAACAACAACCAAAATGATCTTGGAAAACTGCAAGAGAAGGAAGACCAACCTAAATGTGGCATGGATTGACTACAAAAAGGCATTTGACTCTCTGCCACATGATTGGATAATAAAGTGCCTAGAAATAACAGGAGTCAGTAGAAACATCAGAAAATTTGTGCAAAGATCGATGGCACAATGGAAGACACAGTTGCAGATCAATGGTGAGAGGCTGGGAGAGGTTAATATCAAGAGAGGAATATTTCAAGGAGATTCATTATCACCATTACTATTTGTTATTGCACTGTTTCCTCTGTCAACAATACTGAATAACTCAGGACATGGCTATCAAACATCAAAAACATCTGCCAGACTATCCCATCTCCTTTACATGGATGATCTGAAGCTGTATGGAAAAACATCATCTGAAATAGAATCGCTGCTCAACACTGTCCGTATATATAGCCAAGATATTGTATGGAGTTTGGCTTGGACAAATGTGCCACACTTACTATCAAACAAGGAAAAGTAGTGAAAACTGAAGGAATCAAGATGCCCCACGAAAATAACATTAAGAGTCTGGATGAGGAAGAGTACTACAAATACTTGGGTATCCTTCAAGCTGACAACATCAAACACACTGAAGTCAAGAAAAAGATTAGAGGTGAATACATGAAGAGAGTGAAGAAGATCTTAAAATCCAAACTCAATGGAGGAAATACCATAAAGGCAATCAACACCTGGGCAATCCCAGTCATTAGGTACACAGCTGGAATAGTGGACTGGACTCAAGCAGAACTAAAAGCAATGGATAGGCAGACCAGAAAAATAATGACAATGAATCATGCCCTTCATCCACGCAGTGACATTGATAGACTTTATCTACCAAGGCAAATAGGTGGGCGTGGAATGCTACAAGTACATCAGATGGTTGAAGAAGAAAAAATGGCTTTGGAAGAATATCTGAAGAACAATGATGAAGATGCACTGAAATTAGTATATCAGGAAGGCTTACTAACTACTGGAGAGACCAAACTGGCCTACAAGAAAGACCAAATGAAGAACAGAATAGAGGCATGGGAAGACAAAGCACTACATGGCCAATACATGAAAAAAATAGCTGGGAAAGCAGATAATAATAAAACCTGGCAATGGCTAAGAGCAGGAAAATTGAAGAAAGAGACCGAGGGACTAATTCTGGCTGCACAAGACCAAGCCTTAAGGACAAATGCTACAAAGTCAAAATTGAGAAGACAGCAACAGACAGTAAGTGCCGCCTATGCAAAGAAGCTGAAGAAACAGTGGACCACTTGGTAAGCTGTTGCAAGAAGATTGCACAGACTGATTACAAGCAGCGGCATGACAAAGTAGCAACAATGGTGCATTGGAAGATCTGCAAAAAATATCATTTGCCTGTAAGCAAAAACTGGTGGGATCATAAAATAGAGAAAGTCATAGAAATGATAAAATTAAACTGCTCTGGGACTTCAGAATTCAAACAGACAAGCACCTGCAACATAACACCCCAGACTTAACAATTGTCGATAAGAAAGACAAAAAAGTCTGGATAGTGGATGTGGCAGTGCCTGGAGATAGCATAATAGAAGAGAAAGAACTGGAGAAGATAACAAAATACAAAGACCTACAAATAGAAATAGAAAGACTGTGGCAAAAGCAAGCAAGGGTAGTACCAATAGTCATAGGCTCCTTGGGTGCAATCCCAAAACAACTGGAACACCACTTGAACACAATTGGCATTGACAAATTCGCTATTAGTCAATAGGCGGCCTTATTAGGAACTGCTTCCATCCTGCGACGATATCTGTAATACCATCAAACATCCACATCTGCCTATCCCAGGTCCTGGATAAGGACTCGATAGGTAGACAAAATGCCAAATCCAGTCTGAACATCTGGCTGACTGTGCGATGATCGTTAATAATAATAGTAAAGTTGGAAGGGACCTTGGAGGTCATCTAGTGCAACCCCCTGCTCAGGCAGGAAACCCTACACCATTTTGGACAAATGGCTGTCCAGTTTCTTCTTAAAAACTTCCAGTGTTGGAGCATTTACTGCTTCTGGAGGTAGGTTGTTCCACTGATTAATTGTTCTCACTGACAGGAAGTTTCTCCTTAGTTCTAGGTTGCTTCTCTCCTTGATTAGTTTCCACCCGTTGCTTCTTGTCCTGCCTTCAGGTGCTTTGAAAAATAGCTTGATTCCCTCTTCTTTATGGCAGCTCCTGAGATATTGGAATACTGCTATCATGTCCCCCCTCGTCCTTCTCTTCGTTAAACTAGACATACCCAATTCCAGCAACCTTTCCTTGTATGTTTTAGCTTCCAGTCCCCTAATCATCTTTGCTGCTCTTTTCTGTACTCTTTCTAGAGTCTCAACATCTTTTTTACATCATGGTGACCAAAACTGGATGCAGTATTCCAAGTGTGGCCTTACCAAGGCATTGTAGAGTGGTATTAATACTTCACGTAATCTTGATTCTATCCCTCTGTTAATGCAGCCTAGCACTGTGTTGGCCTTTTTGGCAGCTGCAGCACACTGCTGGCTCATATTTAGCATTCCTCTGATCCACTAATTTTGTCACTTGGTCAAAGAATGCAGTAAGATTTGTCTGGCACGATCTATTTTTGACAAACCCATGTTGGCTTTTAGTAATGACTTTGTTTGCCTCTAGGTGTTCGTTGATTCATTGTTTGATTATCTTTTCCAGGATCTTCCCAGGTATTGAGGCCAGGCTGATAGGTCTGTAATTTCCTGGATCCATTTTTTTTCCCTTTTTTGAGGATGGGAACTACATCAGCTCTTTTCCAGTCCTCTGGTAGTTCCCCTGTGTTCCAGGATCATTGAAAAATATAGTTCAGTGGTTCTGATATCACATCTGCCAGTTCTTTGAGAACCTTGGGGTGTAGTCCATCTGGTCCTGGCGATTTGAACTCATCTAGGCTGGACAGGTGCTCACTTACCATTTTCTTGCCTATTTTAACTTGTGTTTCTATTTTGTTTTTTATGGCACTATTTTTGATAGGTTGGTCTGTTTTTTTCCTTTGTGTAAAGACAGATGCAAAAAACGAGTTAAATAGTTCTGCTTTCTCCCTGTTGCTTGTCACCTTCTTGCCACTTCCACCCTCTAATGGACCAATCATTTCCTTCACTTTTTTCTTGTTTTTTACATGTTGAAAGAAGCTTTTTTTTGTTATTTTTGACTTTGGTCACAGGCCTTAGTTCAGATAGATAGCTAGATAGATAGTTAGAGATAGATAGATAGATAGATAGATAGATAGATAGATAGATAGATAGATAGATAGATAGATAGATAGGAGTGATGGAGAGATGGATGGATGGATGGATGGATGGATGGATGGATGGATGGACGGACGGATGGATAGACAGACAGACAGTGATGGAGGGATAGATAGATAGATGAGATGGATAGATGATGGATAGAAATGATAATTGTATCTCTAAATAGAATGTATCTTACAAACAAAAAGGTTAACAAATATTAGAAAGTGTAGTACTGTAAAGACTTGTGATATTACATTTTCATAGATTCAGTTTAACATGAAGAACTCTACATTTGGACCATGCCATTTCATAGAAACTTAAATGCATCCTTGGAACTACACATATGCAAAATGTTCTCTCATGGTCATTTTCCTCCTATGGGGAAATGAAATGGCTTTTGTGACAATAGTCAGCTGTACAATATGACTGAATAGATAAATGACTTGCTTTAAGAAATAAGAAACTTGGCTTCCATATAGGACTTACAGTTCTAAAACTAAGATATAGGAAGAAGGTGACTCATAAGTGTCATGAATGGTGATATACTGAGGATGTTGCAGGTGTTGCAACATGGCTGCTTCATGGGCTGCCTGTTCCTTCTTTTTCATTTTTTTATTGACAAACTTCACCGCAACATCCTTCCTTGTGGCTTTGTGAATACATTTCTTTACGACAGCAAAACGGCCCCTGGAAAATTAAGACCATTAAGATAACTTGTGAATAAACGATGAATCCATTTTGGTTCAGTTTCAATAAATTTGAAGAGCTTTCTAAACTTGTTGAATTATTAACTTTACAAGTAATTTATTGTCTTTTGCCCTGGCAATATATCCTTTTGGGAAAAGCAAAACTAATAAAAGTATCTTCATTTTTTAAAAAATGAATCTATTATAAGAGATTCTGACCATGAATTAGAAGCTGAATTCTGAATAGCCTTGTGTCAGAGAACTCCTTTTTCCCAAAAGTAAATTTAAAGTTGAGATTCTTGGCCACCTTCATATGTCACAAAGGTATACTGTGGACAATGTACCACAAGAATACTCAAGCCCCTATCATAAATCCCCAGAGAACTTTGTATCCTCCATAGCCAGGAGAGAGATGGAAATGCATCATTTCTACTGAACTGTATATGCCAGTCCCAAATCATGAACACAATTTGCTCTTCAGAAAGGGGAAATAATTCTCTCTGCATTTATACATAGATAAAACCTGTATCCAGATTTAGTCAGCACTGTTTTCTTACTAATGATTGTCTATGGAGATTCTTAATCATCCAAGTCCTGGTTTTACCAAAGTTGCTTTTCCAATAGGCAACTGGTTTTTTTCTTTGAAAATGTTTTGATTCTCATCCAAGAAGCTACTTCGATTCTTCTTTAGAATAGCAATAGAATTTAGGCTTATACCTCTCCATAGTGCTTTACAGCATTCTGTATGGTTTACAGAGTCAGTATATTGCTCCCAACAATCTGGGTCCTCATTTTACTGACCTCAGAAGGATGGAAGGCTGAGTCAACCTTGAGCCGGTCAGGATCAAACTCTTGGGTGTGGGCAGAGTTAGTGCCCCACTAGGGCTCAGAAACCTCTTTAATGAGAAATGAAACATTTTTAAAGAAAAATCCCCAAAAGTGCAGTTGCCTTTTGGAAAAGCACTTTTGAAACTTTCTAATAGTTCTAGATCTCCAGATGATTATTCCCTCTTCTGGCTATAGGTCTGCAGGTTTCTGAGAGAAGCACATCTTGCTTAGAGAAAGTAGTAACATAGAGCCTGTGTTTATATGTCATGCTAGACCATCATATGTTTTTCTTCACTAAACCAATCACTATGGTTTGTAAACATTGGTTTATGCCTTAAAGCAACATTGAAATTATCCACTTGTAATGTAGTCACACAACATGATTTTAAAAAGCATGTCAGAATGGCTTCTGTTGCAAGTAATAGCATGTACAGTATCTATGGAGATTCTCAGACATCCATTACATCCATTAGGTCATGGTTGTCCCAAAGGTGTTTTTTCAAAAGGCAACTGAACTTTATTTTTCCCTGAAGACATTTTGCTTCTCATCCAGGAAGCTTCTTCAGTTCTCACTGAATGGTGGAGAATGGAAGGAATTCATTCAGGACTGAAGAAGTTTCCTAGATGAGAAGTGAAACGTCTTCAGGGAAAAATGAAGTCCAGTTGCCTTTTGAAAAAACCCCTTTGGGACAGGCATGCATAGTAGTGATGGGGCTTAGTAAGAGAAGGAAAAAAGGAAGAGTGAATCCTGGTGAATGGAGCTCATCCCATTGGGAACTAGATCCAAGCCCACACATATTTTAAGCACTTTAATAAATGAGTTGAGATATACAGGGAGAAGATGCTGTAAGTTTGTTTGTGTCTGTGAGCACCATGTTATACAGTGCAGTGCTTCAGCCTCAGCTGGGAAGAGATGTTTTGCAACACATGAAAGTGTGAATGCAGTGCCTCTCTGTGATTGATTAAAGCAGCCATGACTTTTTCAGAAATTGTGTGGTTGCTATGGGGAGACTCCCATTGCAATGGTAATATGATAAAAAAAAGTACAATTATACATTCTGTACATTTTCTGATGTTTGGCTTTTTATGAAATTACTTCCTTACCGTCCAATTTCATTCAGCTCTGTATAAGCAAAATCAAAATTCTCTTTCCAAGTAATGGTGGCACCATCCGCCGCAGAGTCTTTGTGGAACCAGATGGGTTAGGAAAACAGAATTGTAAAACAGATACAGTCAATGTTATGTAGCTATTAAAAACATGAGTATTTTAACAGCAGCAGCCATAACAAACTGCAGTGATGTCCCAGTGATGGCAGGTTGGTATTGATTTCATCATGCAAATACATTAAAGAGTGAATGCGGTGTTTGTCTGTTAGCAAGACTCAGGAAGATCACAACAGTCCCAGAAAAGGCTTCTAAAATGTCACGTGTTCTCTCTCAGAGACCACCTTTCTATGATCCAATCTATCCATCCAACCTAGACAGTCAGATAATACCTTCTCAGAGTCCCCATCTACCTGGAGACACAGTGCAAGGGGTCCCAAAGGAGAGGCACCATCTTTAGGGGTGAGAAGGGCTAGTTCCGTTTTTATTATAATGACACGCTCTTTGTCATTGCTATATTAATATCATTACGGTAACCTATTATATGAGTTGTAAACCACCTACAGTCAAATTGGATTGAGGTGGTATATTCATAAATGAATAAAGTGAAGTTCAGTGATGACCTTTTCTTAAGGTCAGGGTTTTGTGAGAAAGTTTCTCTTTTTATAACTGCAAATTGCTACATCAAGAACTACATGCCTAGGATGGGATCGGATGCTTTATAGTGATCAAAATTAACATTAGTATGGATAGAGACTATTTGAGCAATTGCTGTGTTTCTATGGGATCAAAATAATCACTGCTTGACTGCATTAAATAAAATGGAACACATATACCATGTTGCACTAGTGTGCGTTGTGCAGCTTGAAACCATAGATGTTGTTTTGACTGGCAACAGTTCTTGATGAGGTGGAATGAGCCAGCGGTGGCGCACGTTATTTTGTTCCCCATCAGTGGTGCCATCATCAAACATAGACATTTTGATTTTTTTTTAAAAAAAAAAACACCTCTCCTGTATGTAAAATAAGGAAGCAGTTCTTCACTCTGCTAAACAGCCATTGCCTATGTTGGTTGATTCACTCTGCTTAATGCTGAAACCAGCTCTCGTGAGGCCTTTTCAAATAAAAATGCTGGCTTTCAGATCTAAAGAAGTGCAGATTGGCTGTGATCTAATTGAAGTATTGCTTTAGGTTGGGTCATTGAAACAATCTGATTCAAAGCAATGCCTCCATTTGAAAAAACAAATTGCTCCACTTTGACATTTCAAATCCAAGACAACCCACGGCTTTAGTCTGGAGAAAAGTCTGCACATGAATGGGCAAGGACCAATTTGACCAGGGAAGTTGCTTCTCTTTGGGGGGGGGGAGTGTCAATCAAAGTTTTGTCAAATCAAAGCATCCCTTTGAAACTCTTCAATTATTCACAGGATGGCTGCAAGCAAAGTAAGCATTATAGCCCTGTGCTGCACTCCTTTCAAAAGATCAGCTGCACCAAAAATAAAATGATCTGAACGTAGGACAACTTGTTAGAATACACCTCTCCAATTTTTCAGAGCAGGCAACAAAACATGAACCACGTGAAGCTTGAACTTCCAGGAAATTTTGATTCTCGACAATGGACCCCAGCTTAGAAATCTGAAGTGTGACATTAATGGAGTTTTCCATTCTGAAAGTCAGCTCTCCTTTGTGAATACAGGTCTCACCGTATTCTGGGAGTTTCACAAATTCAGAGGCCTCACTGGGTAAGCTAATTCCCCAGGGATTGCTGGCGCTGACCCGGAACTGGTACTGACAGCCAGGCGTGAGGTCTTCAATAACGAGGTAGGTGTCCAAAGTTGAGGCAACAGATTGCTGCCAGATCTGGGAGTCTATGTTGTAGGAAGAAAGAGAAAAGACAAGGGGAGAAAATAACCAACATTTAAATGCAATTACACATTTCCTTCTTGGTGATATAGGCGACTAGCTTTCAATCACAGAAGGTTAGAAAGAAAGCATTCCAGTTAAAATACTCCTACAAGGTGATGTAAGCAAGAGTAGTGGTATTTTCATCTTGGTCTTCAGCCTGATTTCAGTAGAACCTAAAATGTAATCAAGTTAGGGTTTTTAAAATGGTGTTTATAGGATTTTAGGGTTCTATGAGAAATTGACTATGTGGAAAAGTTAGCCGCTACCACCACAAACTCTCAAATGCATGCAATTTTCTAGCAGACAACCTTTTTTTGCCTCTTGATCAGGGGTTTGGGGATTTGGTTATTTTAAAGCTGTCCTGAAACCCCTGATTAAACAGAAGAAGTGGTATTTCCAGTTTTTTATTAGTGATGTGTCTAAGGGTAGATTGTAGGCCCATCAATCGAGCCATATAACTTTGAGAGTGCCCCATTTGTTGTCATGAGAGTCTATCTTTTCCTCACCTCCCTCATTCTCCTTCTTAAGAAACAGGATGCCAAATGGATCTGAAGCTGTTCTGCAGGATACCGAAGCTCTTTTAAAACTTAGGTAAGTATCAAAAGTTCCAGCGGCTTTGCTTGGTTAGGAAAGAGGGTGGAAGAGCCCTGCGTAGGAAGTGAGGGGGAACAAGAGGACTTCTAGTTCCGCCCTGTAGTGACATGGCCAAGGGATTGCGGGGCTCCACACATCACAGCTGATTTTGCCCTGCCAGGGGGGAACCCTTTATGGGTCAAAAGTCGCCCCGGAGAGACAACAAAGAGGGAGGGGTGCCCTGATGCTCACGGAACAGCAGTCAATCCACTTGATCCATGGGAAACCCTCCAATCTGACAGGAGAAAGGCTAGCTGCACATCAGTGTCTAGCCCCAGCTACAAGCAGCCGAAGTCCAAAAGCACGAACCAGAACAATGGTGAATAGCTTGCTTGAAACTGGCTGAGAATATCAATCTTCTCTCTTCTATTTTGTAACTGATTCCCTGGAAAAGATCCCCAAAGCAAGAAATCCTCTGAAAGTGAGGGAGGGGACTAAAAGAAGGAAGTGGCAAATTAACTTCTAAGGGGAAAAGAAATATACTGAAATGAAATTAATAACACTGTAGTCTGGATAAAACTGAAAATTAAGAAAACTGTTTTATGCCCTAAAGAGCGTCAATGAAATTATAAAAAATAATAATTTTTTATTTGAAAAAGTTGGAAAATAAATAACTACTGACATCTAGTGGAGAATCAGAGCATAGAAAAACAGTAACTCTGACTCAGAAATTAGCAAAATGCCCAGAAACAAAGAATAATCTGTTCTCTTGAACTTTAATAACCTTCAGCCAAATAGAAAAAAGCTGGAAACTAAGAAAGAAAACATACTGAGCCATCTATAAGTTTAAAAAATGCCTGCAGAAAAATAAAACTTTCTCTAAGCTCAAGAATTTTTTGCAGAAAAAGAAAAACTTTGACTCTTGGCTAATCTAGGGGGGAATTTACTAGAAGGCTTCAAGATGGCTAAACATTCTAGATTGCAACTCTGACTGGTTGATAATTGACCCCTGAATAGAAGAATTTTTATAAAATACTGCTTTCACTGATGCCTTGACAATTGGAAACGCATTGGATTACAAAACCATATATAAAGATAAGAACTATATAAGATTTGGTTGTTTGGATTTTGAGATTGGCTGGTTTGATAAGGCTAATTATGGAGATTATGGTACTGGTGAAAACTATTTGGAGGGGGGAGATGAAATGGATATTGCAAATTTATCTAAAAGGGACAGGAAACCACACCCAATATACCCCTTTGAAAGATCTAGCCTGGAACATCAGAGATCTACAGGAGTAATACCCCAAGATAAGACAAGTACTTTTCAGGAGGAAATGTATGCAATGCTACGACAGATTCAAATGACAACAGTATCAAACCATGATGAGATTAAAAACAACTTTGATGACATAAATGAGCACATCTTCAATCTAAACTTACAACTAAAAAACTCTCAGAAAATGATGATAAAGAATGAACAAACAAATCAGATAACAGAACACAAATTAGAAGAAAGTGACTTAAATAGGGAAGCTACAAATGAAGAAAACTACAATTTAATAAAACAAATAGAAAAAAATTTACAAGAATTTACCACAACAATGAAAATGGAAAAGATATTTTATCTGTCATGATTTCAAAACAAATTTGAGGATAAGAAAGAAGATTTAACAAAATGGATTATAGAGCTGCCAGGAAAATCATCAGAGTGTGGGAGACAAAAAGCATATATCCTATTCAACTTGTCTTTCTCACTCCCAACAAAAATACAGGAACTTCCTGGCAAGTGGAATATATTAACTTGGAAAGCTATTTGGCAAAAGAAGAAAGCTAGAGTTAGACTTAAAAGATTTGATTTGACTTACCAGATGGAGTACTACTTGATTAAACATTTGTTTGAATATGGTTAAAAGAGTAGATAATTTTGGATATAAAGGGACCTTATAGTAAGAAGGATAAGAGATATAAGTAGTATAGTAATTTTTACAATATATGAAATGTTAAAATACTGGGATGATGTATGTGAATGGAAAGTTTGGATATTTAAAAGTAATTAATTTTGAGAGAATTATGACCGAGAAGAATGATTTGAATACCGAGGGGAAATTAAGCTTAAATAAGAATTTCAAAAACAGGATATATAGTGACTAACAAGATGACTTTTACAAATATAGTTGAAATATAAGCTGTTCAGAAAAGATGTTATATGTGGATGTTATAGGATATATAAGTAGTATAGCATTTTTATAATATATGAATTATGAAAATATTGGGATGATGTATGTAAATGAAAAGTTTGGATATTTAGGTAATCAATTTTGAGAAAACTATGACTGATGAGAATGGTTTGAATACTGAAGGGAAAATAAGTTTTAATAAAAATTTTGAAAACAGGACACATAGTGACCTAACAAGGTGACTTTTACAAATACAATTGAAACATAAGTTAATTAGAAAAGATGTTAATATATGGATGTCATTGTTATTTGTACAAACTCAAAAAATGTTTATATCCAACCTTGTATGCATTGAAAATATTATTATATTTATCTAATGTTGACAAAGAAGAATACCATTGGAAGAAGGGAAGCTCAAGGAAACATATTACTAATTAATATATTGATCATGGAATTATAGAAATTAATTATTATTGATTGTTTTTTCAAATATATGAACCCAGACAACACACTATTTACTAAGCACTAAGGCTTGTTATTGCAAATAATCAGTAAAATATATTTTAAAAAAGGAAGTGAGGGGGAACAAGAGAAAGAGAAACTGTCCAGGCATTTGTGGAGCATCTAGCTTTTGTGTCATACTGATAATCTACAGGAAGAATGGTCATTTGGGAACCACATTCACCATTTTAGTGATTGAAGCATAGAAGAACAAAACAGAACAGGACAGGAGTATGGAATGGAATGGAATGGAATGGAATGGAATGGAATAGAATAGAATAGAATAGAATAGAATAGAATAGAATAGAACTTTCTTCTATTCTAACAGAAACATGAATATGTTGGACTTGGAGTGATATGGATGGAAGAGCAGGGAAGGCAAGGGCTGAGAAGATAGGCTGTAGTCATTCTATGGTGAAGGGAGACATGGCGTCAATTGAGATCCGTGTGCTTAGTGATACTAAAGGGACTATTCTAATTTCATCTCCAGTTTTGCCCAGACCCTTCTGACAAAATTTTGACTATAGAAAGCTGAAGAGTGACAGGAATGATATTAGGCAATGCAGCTCGAACAATGCTTGCCATTTATTGAGACTCCTCAGGTATTTTCTAGTTACAAAGGACTTTTCTGGACTTTTTATGTGTGGTGCACACATGCCCGAAGATGGAAAATAGGTGAAAGAAACACAAGAATGCAGGGCAACTGTTCCTTTAAAAAAGGGGCCATAGTAAGGTAGCAGTTCCCCAGTTACTAAACTGTAAGATGTAAAGGTGCAAGATGTTTTGTGCAGAATCTTCCCCCCCCCCGCCAGCTATCTCTTTCCAGAGTTATAGTCAATGGACTGAAATCAAGCAGTCAGCCTTAGACATTATCAGATTAGAGGCTAATGGCATAGTGGACCTCTGGCAAAGCTCATCAGATGTTATTGCACACCCGCAAGAGGGGAATAACAACTGGAAATAAGGATGCTAGATTTAACCCACATGATACTCACAACTGAAATTCTGGTCCCAATTGCATTTGTAAATCAAAGACTATCTGTGTAACAACTATGGCTGCATAGTCTTTCTTGGCCTTACCAGCAGTGCTAGAGAGTGCTAGTAGAAATAGTCAGCATTTAAGGCCATGCAAATTTGCCTATAAGCACAGTGCAAGGGGAAAGTGGCGACTGTGTATAACTACTAAATTCAGTGGTGAAATAAATATACGCCTGGTAGGCAATTCAGATTTTTCCCACGCAAAAGCCTCACAATGCTTGCACCTTCTTCTCTGTACTCGACTGTGTAGCCTGAGATGGTACAGTTGCCTGTGCTGGATGGAGGCAGCCAGCGGAGAATCACCGAAGTGCAACTTCTTTCCTGAGCAATAGGCTGATTTGGGGCAGCTGGAACCCCTGGGATGGGGAAAGAGAGGAGAGAGAAACAATTAGCAGAGAAAGGGATGAGAATTAGAGGAGAATTTTGGCGTCCCAGTTAAGGAGCAAATAGCAGATTTACTAGCCATCAAGTCCTCTCTCTTTGTATTCTTTCGTTGAAAAAATAACATCTGAGGAGTAAAACAATCAGGGGGAAAATGCAGGAATGGGAAAGAGTTAATTTCTCTCCTAGAAGTGTTGCTTTAATCCAGTTTTTATTTAAAGAAATGTGACCTACAGGACAGATTACATTGCTGGTTTAATACAATCTAATTTTAAAATGCATTATTTTCAGTGCAATTTAATGTAATTGCTGATTATAACCAGCAATCTGTATCAACCTAAACAATGGAGAGCTGTAACTTTTAAAGATGATTTGAAATTCGGGAAAACAAAGAAAATGGAAGGAGGCAGGCAAGCCTCCAGCACACTCCTAGTGACTGATGTGTTTCCCTGCTATGTGAAAACTGGCATGCCAGCCTTTCAGAGTGTGGATATTTTTTTTTTAATGAAAAAGAAGAGTTTACACCTGTAGTTCATAACATGCAGTTTCAAATGGCACATGCTGACTCCCTGAACGTGACTCCTGGTGACACTATTCATGTATTTGGGGCAGCAATATTGACATGGCTTGCCACTATCTCCTTCTAGGATTCAGGTTCCAAATGTAGCCTTCATCTTAGATATGGCCTCATGGCCTTCCAGCCAAGTCTGAATCATCATCTCACATTTCTTCAGCTTTAAGGGGGATTAGCTAAAATCAAGGCAAGGGTTTATAGCCCTTGTTCTGGCTATAAAATCTGAATATGTAGAGAATTTAAAAATCCTTTCTCTCTCGGGTTTCTTCAGCTATAAGTCCAAGAGGGGAAACTATATAAACATTACTTTTCTTACAGAAATTTCTTATACATATAATAGCGCATGTTTCCAAGCAAATGATGCTTTCCAAATACATCCAATTAAAGTATGGCCCACTTGCATTCGCTTTGCAACTTGCAGAGACCTCCCCCCAAGTAAATGGGATGAAATTGTTATTATTAATGCTACTACTGTTACTAGGGGGAACTTTGCCTTTAGTTTACCATATGCCTGTTCCTCCTAGAGCAGTGGTGGTGAACCTATGGCACACATGTCAGAGGCAGCACTCAGAGCCCTCTCTGTGGGCACGCACGCCGTCGCCCCAGCCCCACTCTCCCCACAGCTCCCTCACCAGCAGTCCCCCTGGAGTAGAGTTGTCCCCGGGCGTGGCCGACGCACAGCAGTACAGCCAAGGATATGGCAGCCGGGCAGCAGGAACGAGACTCCACCCTCACATCCCGTCATGCGCAGGTGATGCTGTGGGGCACGGGTGGAGGGCGTGGCCACCATAGCACTGCAGGGCCGCCTGAGTGATCTGCTGCGGCAGGCCATGGAGGCAGTGGGTGGCAGTGGGCAGGCAGGGGTGGGCGGAGCAGGTGGGGGTGGTGGGAGGGGTGGGGCAGTTTTGGGGCACTCGGTCTCTAAAAGGTTCGCCATCACTGTCCTAGAGCACCATAATTAACATCAATAACATTTCACCAAGCAAACCTATACGAGGCTTTATACAATAAGCACCCTGTTCTTAGCTTATATATGAAAGAAATATCCATTACCTTGTACTTTGACTGTCGCTGATGTGGATGCTGTTCCAAGTTCATTTGTGGCCACACAAGTGTAAATGCCACTGTCCTGAGGCATCACGTTGCAGATCTTTAGAGTAATGTCACCTGATTCACTAGAGAGGGGCAGAAGTCAAAAGGTTAATTTGAAATTCTGTCAAGTGGCTTCTCCCCCAGAACATAACAGTTATGATGTTTCTGGTAACTAGAGTCAAGGGTTTGAGAAATGTGACCTGAAAGTACTAGAGAACATCTTTAAGGTCATCTTCCTTTTTATTCAAGGCATGCTTTGTGACTAGCTGATCCCATCTTGCCTGCTCTGTTATGAATGCACCAATTCCCCCCAGGGCAGCCATAAGGAGAGGATCTCCAGAAAACATAGAATTTCACTCATCAGCCTCAATCCTGATCAAGAGATGTTGAAGAATTCGTTTCTAGGATGTTTGGGACACGAGCCAAAGAAATACTTTTTATATTTTAATGAAATACATGGTGAGAATAAATAGGGGCTTCCATTTCTAGGATTTTTTTCTTGAGATGAATTATCTTCACTACCTGATTTCAATCTACCTGATTTATATACTCTCCAACCAGCATAATGGGTTAATATGTCAATATTCATTCTTTTGGATCTATTAGTATCTATCACATTGTTTGGGGAAATTTTAAGTAACAAGATGCTTTTAGTCATTTCCCATTAGGGTCCGACATGCTTACTGTTGGATAAGCTTGTAAAAAACCATTCAGATATCTTTTTAATAAAAAAAAAATCAGTTTTTAAAATTCTAAATATTTTGATCTACTTTTTAAAAATATACTAATTCTTTTCATTGTTTATGAAATTGATTGCAGTGATAAGGTACTCTGAGGGCTACCCATCTTCATAACAGAATATAAAGCAGTGGTTCTCAACCTTTTTAATGCCGCGACCCCCAACCGGTCGTAAGTCAAGGACTACTCAACTGGTGCAGCAGAATGGGACTTTTGGCGGGCTCAGCAGGGCAGAGACAGCCTGGACAATTCCTATTGGCTTTTGAAAGCCAATAGAATTAGACTCTATTCAAGAGAGTCTATTCTATTGGCTTTCAAAAGCCAATAGAATAAAAGGGAGTAGCACAGCTAAGGAAAAGGGGGGGAAAATGGCGGACTGCGTTGTTTGGCGACCCCCGTGAAATGGTCGTTCGACCCCAAATGGGGTCCCGACCCACAGGTTGAGAACCACTGCTCTTGACTGATGTAGATTATGAGGAACTGACAATCAGAACAGTTTTTAAAATTTTGGTGTATGAAATTAATTCTCTTTACATTATTACAATTACACAGATTTGCTCTATTGATTCAATGGCCACATTAATTAATCCATTCATTGTTTTTTTCAGCAGAATCCCAAATGTAAAGATTGAACATACCAGGAGGTAACTGTAATTGCAGAAGTGCTATTGTCACTGTCAAGCATGTTTTGATCCGGTCCTTTCCAGGTGATGGTTGGTTTGGGCCGCCCGCAGATTTTGCATTGCAACATTACGGTGTCTCCAAGCAAGCAAGTGATGTCCACTAAAGGCACGAGAAACTCAGGAGCAACTGGAGTAAATGCCATACACAGAGACACATCACAACTCTCACAAGAGACATCAACAATTTTATTTGAAATACTGAAACAGCTGTCAAGCAAGGAACAATGGGTTTTTTTGGTGCAAGAAAACTCCTGCTCCACAGAAAGTGAAAACAGAAAAAATATTCCCTTTACTTCCTATTTCTGAGGCATGTTTTCAGAAATGGAGAAAAGAGGACTAAAGACCTCCCCATAGCTTAGAAGAATTGCTGCCATGAGGACTCCCAAAGATCAACTTTAGTATGAAGTGTCATCTTTTCATAATACAACATTGAATTCTTATATATTAATATCCTTAACATTTTAAACAAGATCTGTGATGAATTTCCTCATAAAACTGTGCTCGTACAATCTTTGAAATGGAAGTGATTATCTGTCATCAAATCAAAGTCAGCTCTTAGTGACTACAGAGATAGATTTTCTCTGTTACAATCTATTCCTAACCTGGCCATTTAAGTCTTCCACCAATGTCGAAATAGAATTATGGGATACATTTCCCCAATTATTTGTACTTTGATTGGTTTTTTATCTTTGACATTTCTTGATACCTGGGTTGTTTTCTTGTTTAAAAAGATGTAAGCAGCATGAGTGTTCATATTTTAACGAAAAGGCAGATATAAATTAATTTAATCAATAACAATGTTAAGGGCAGATAGTGAGTTTGTATAAATGTGATGCAATATAAAAGCGAGAAAGAACCCCCAGAATAATTTGAAAACTGCTTAGCTAAAATAAACGAAATAAAATGAATTCTAATTTGAACTGCCAAATCTGGGCTGAAAAATTTTGAACACAGATTTCTGGATCTCTTTTTTGACATCCTGCAGTTTGCAGATTTTAGCAATTCATATATTTATACATTTCAATTATATTATAGGGAAAGCAATGTCAGTTTAATTGGCTGTCCAATATATTCTTTGGGACTGTCGTAAGTACGTACTTAGTATCATGCTTGTCAGACAAAATTACCCAGGATATGTTTGGAGAAATAATATTATTTCCCTTTTCATTTTCTAAGCATGGAAAAAATAAAGACTTGACATGCTTATGTCTTTAACTCACCTTCCTGGATGAAATTTGGGTTGATGATCTGAAAAATATATACATATGTACACACACACAGGAAATAAAAAAAAATTATTTAATTGGTTATTGAAAAAGAGAAATGCTCTCAGTGAGATATACGTTTTAAAAATACCAAGGAACTGAAAGTACAGGACTAATTCTGAATACTGTGTTTACTGTAACAGCCCTTTCTGATCTTTACATCAAGATTGCAGGATCCTTCAACTGGCCAGATTCTGAAAAGATTTCAAAAAGAGCAGAAATGAACTAGCAATCATGAATCTACTTGTTTGTAAATAAAGCATAGATTCACTGTCCATAATCTTTGGTCTTTCCTCCCATTCACTTCCCATGATCAGCAGATTGTCTTCATGAGTGGCTGGGAATCAGGTAATTCCTGTAGCTATTGGAGTTCTGCAGCACTTTGGATTCCATTCCAAACAGGTGGTTTAGAGAAGGGGTCCCCAACCCCCGGTCCATGGACTGGTACTGGGCTGCGGCATGCCACCAACCGGTCCACATAAACAAGGAAAGCCTCATCCATGGGATGCAGGCAGCATACCAAACCACACACTCTCCGGTCCATGGAAAAACCTTTCTCCATGGAACCGGTCCCTGGTGCCCAAAAGGCTGGGGACCTCTGGTTTAGAGTGAGCAGGAGTGCAACAGAAGCACCTGTCTGCAGCTCTTTAAACCAAACGTGATTTTTGCAGTGATCATGCTAAAGACCCTCTCTTGAATCAGTTCTGAAGGGCTGCAAAGCTCAGGGGTGTCAAACTGGTGGCTCGCAGGCTGGATGCATCACGCACAGGCCACGCCCACCTTGGCTCTGCAAAGGCAAAAAAGTCACAATATGTCACGCTACATCACGTGACACAATCGAGTTTGACACCCATGCCCTAATTGTTATCTGATCATATTTAGCACTACATATAATCGTGACATACCTAAGAATAATCTTGTTAAATTAGCAGTTTAAGCAAAACACTCCAGTACTCTAGTTGTACTCAAGTGTTTTAGATAAAATAAGAAGAAGTAGAGCTTGTTCATTTTTATTCTGAAACCTCATGTTCTACAGTGGTTTTGAATAAACTGATTGTTTCAAAATCACACCAGGTCTGATTACTTCATGGCAATCAGTTCTTTTATTATTATTCTGTAGCACCGTCAGAGACAGGATGATTTGCAAAGTGAGTGTAATTCAACCAGTACCAAAATGAAAAAAAGCCTTTTCTGAAGACAATTTTTCTATTTGTACTTTGTACTTACTATCAGGACAAACTACTGAATATTATCAGGGATACATATTGGTAAAAATTCAATCTTACCCACTAGAGTAGGTCTTTCAATTATTTTGTACCTGAGAACCTTTAGCAAAATCCATTAAACCCTAAATAATTTCCTTCCAATAAGTCTTCACATTGATCTGAAATTGTCTTCAAGAAAATGATATTTTTAAAGGATGAACATTCTCAGTGTGCTCCTCCACTTGGTATATTTAAACTCATTGTGAGAACTAAAATGCCTAAACACACACACACACACACACACACACACATACACACACAGAATCATTTATCAAGAACATCATACTTCTTTGCAAAAAAAGAAAGAAAAACCTGTGATAGAAAAAGGCCTGGCCAAATATAGATGAAATTTACAGTTAATACATTCAGCTTTTTAATTTAGCTTTTTAAATTAAATATATAATGAAATATCTTTATCCAATATCAAAGCTAATAAGATTCACTGGAAACAATCCAGCCTAATTAGAAGTAAATTTCTACAGAACTATACCATTAGTAGTATTGCAGCAAATACATTTAAATTCTAGGCTAGAAATTAGACTTGTTTCGGCAGCAGAGGGCATATATCTGCCAAGATATCTGGATTAATGGTTAAACTGTTACAGCAGTCCAATAAAAAAATATTTTATTTGATGATGCCACTATTTTAATTAAGGCTTATCCAGCTGGAAGTTTTCTGCCTTGTTGATTCAAGATTAATAGGCAGCGCTATTTGTTATTGTTAGGTAATTATTAATAACGATTAAGCAAGGTGGGCAAATTATGGCTATGGGCCATTTATAGCTCTGACACTTTTTGAGAGTTGTGAAACTGCTTTAAAAAGGCAAACAGTAAAATAGGTTTATCTGTCCTTTAGCTGCACATGTGTGAACAGGCACTCACATATTTTGAAAAAAAAAAGAAAGAAAAACCAAACACCCAACCAATCCTGTAAATTTCAACCTTGCTCTTTGTGGGATCTCATTGTTAAACTCTTTATGGCTAAGTCAATTACAGTAAAATATTCATTCTGGTGACAAATATGTTGCCCCCTTTGATTAAAAAGGTCATATTCCAAAGATTTATCTAAAAAGGAAATGTTGATGACAAAGGAAGAACATAATTATGGTATGTTCTGCCATGAAAAATATTGCTGACGGGGTGAAGAAAAGATAAATGGCAATCCTAATGGGGATGGTATCTTTCCAGTCTTCATCATTTCCCCCAAAGATATGATACAACTTAGGTTATAAATAATCTGATGTAGCCCCATTCTCACTTCTTTAAATGGCAATATGGATTGCTTAACTGTTCCAAAACATGGTGAACCTTGCTTACCATGTTACCAGTGGAAATTTTTAGCTTTATTTGCCCTAGGGCAGGGGTAGGTAACCTTGGCTCTTTTATGACTTGTGGACTTCAACTCCCAGAATTCCTGAGCAGTTGAACTCCACGAACCATAAAAGAGCCAAAGTTGCCTTGGGGAGCTACAAACAAACAAAGTCTAGATGTGACCTTCAGGCTGACCTTAGCTACCTCGTTTCTCCTAGCTTTTCTTCCACTGATACAAAACATTTGTTGTATTTTTCTTTCCACATATCAAACTGATTGGTGTATTTTTGATCCACCAATGATGCGGAGTATCTTGTAGTTAATCTTGATCATATTCCTCTAAAGAAACATAAAGGCCCAAATGCACCAAATATTGAATATTTTTGAATTTTGAGCACCTTAAATAGATTGCCTTGCATCTTTCTTTAATATCACCATTCATTTTAATGGATTTTGACAACCTACAGTGGGGAAAAAAATTATTTGATCCCCTGCTGATTTGGTACGTTTCCCCACTGACAAGGAAATGATCAGTGTATAATTTTAATGGTAGGTTCATTTTAACAGCGAGAAACAGAATAACAACAAAAAAAATCCAGAAAAACCACATTTCAAAAAAGTTATAAATTGATTTGCATTTAAAATAGTGAAATAAGTATCTGACCCCTTTGCAAAACATGACTTAGTACTTGGTGGCAAAACCCTTGTTGGAATCACAGAGGTCAGACGTTTCTTGTAGTTGGCCACCAGGTTTGCACACATCTCAGGAGGGATTTTGTCCCACTCCTCTTTGCAGATCCTCTCCAAGTCATTAAGGTTTCGAGACTGACATTTAACAGCTTGAACCTTCAGCTCCCTCCACAGATTTTCTACGGGATTAAGGTCTGGAGACTGGCTAGGCCAGGGAATTCCAACCTGTGGGCTGCAGCCTGGTACTGGTCTGTGGCCTGTTGGCCACTGGGTCGCACCCTCCTCACTTGTGTTAGTGTTGCTGTGGGTGCTAGCAGCCACATTTGCGAGCACTAGCAGCCTGTTTGCACATATGCATGGGCTCCAGGGCTGCCACTAGCATCGCCATGGATATACGCATCCCGCTTGTGCATGTGCATGGGCGCTAGCACTGCCATGTGCCTATTTTGTGCATGCGCATGTGCACACACACAAAAGCACATACATTTCCCTGCTCCTCCCTTTCCCTCCAGGCCACCAACCCAGAAAGGTTGAGGAGCTCTGGGCTAGGTCACTCCAGGACCTTAATGTGCTTCTTCTTGAGTCACTCCTTTGTTGCCATGGCCATGTGTTTTGGGTCATTGTCATGCTGGAATACCCATCCACCCATTTTCAATGCCCTGGCTGAGGGAAAGAGGTTCTCACCCAAGATTTGATGGTACATGGACCCGTCCATCGTCCCTTTGATGCAATGAAGTTGTCCTGTCCCCTTAGCAGAAAAACACCCCCAAAGCATAATGTTTCCACCTCCATGTTTGATGGTGGGGATGGTGTTCTTGGGGTCATAGGCAGCATTCCTCCTCCTCCAAATACGGCGAGTTGAGTTGATGCCAAAGAGCTCAATTTTGGTCTCACCTGATCACATTTTCACCCAGTTCTCCTCTGAATCATTCAGATGTTCATTGGCCTGTATATATGCTTTCTTGAGCAGGAGGACCTTGTAGGCGCTGCAGGATTTCAGTTCTTCATGGTGTAGTGTGTTACCAATTGTTTGCTTGGTGATTATAGTCCCAGCTGCCTTGAGATCATTGATCTGTGTAATTCTGGGCTGATTCCTTACCATTTTCGTGAACACTGAAACTCCATGAGGTGAGATCATGCATCGAGCCCCAGACAGAGGGAGATTGACAGTTATTTTGTGTTTATTCCATTTGCGAATAATCTCACCAACTGTTGTCACCTTCTCACCAAGCTGCTTGGTGATGGTCTTGTAGCCCATTCCAGCTTTGTGTAGGTCTACAATCTTTTCTCTGACATCCTTGGACAGCTCTTTGGTCTTGGCCCTAGTGGAGAGTTTGGAATCTGATTGATTGATTGTTTCTGTGGACAGGTGTCTTTTATACAGGGAACAAGCTGAGATTAGGAGCGCTCCGTTTAAGAGAGTGCTCCTAATCTCAGCTCGCTACCTGTATAAAAGACACCTGGGAGCCAGAAATTTTGCTGACTGATAGGGGATCAAATACTTATCTCACTCATTAAAATGCAAATCAATTTATAACTTTTTTGAAATGTGTTTTTCTGGATTTTTTTTGTTTTTATTCTGTATTTCACTGTTAAAATAAACCTACCATTAAAATTATAAATTGATCATTTCCCTGTCAGTGGGCAAACGTACAAAATCAGCAGGGGATTAAATAATTTTTCCCTCACTGTATGTCATAATATATATCCAACAATT